GTTTAGACTGGTTTAGACCTGGTTTAGTCCTGGTTTAGACCTGGTTTAGTCCTGGTTTAGACCTGGTTTAGTCCTGGTTTAGACCTGGTTTAGTCCTGGTTTAGTCCTGGTTTAGACCTGGTTGGTTCCTGGTTTAGACCTGGTTTAGTCCTGGTTTAGTCCCTGGTTTTAGACCTGGTTTAGTCCTGGTTTAGACCTGGTTTAGTCCTGGTTTAGTCCTGGTTTAGTCCTGGTTTAGACCTGGTTTAGTCCTGGTTTAGACCTGGTTTAGACCTGGTTTAGTCCTGGTTTAGACCTGGTTTAGTCCTGGTTTAGTCCTGGTTCAGTCCTGGTTTAGTCCTGGTTTAGTCCTGGTTTAGACCTGGTTTAGAGTCCTGGTTTAGTCCTGGTTTAGTCCTGGTTTAGTCCTGGTTTAGACCTGGTTTAGACCTGGTTTAGTCCTGGTTTAGTCCTGGTTCAGTCTGTATGCGGCGCATGGGCCACGTTTAAAGTCCAAACAGGCGACTTCTGGATCCTTTTACTGCTGCTTCAGTTTTTCATTGTTTAAAACAGGGGTCCACAAAGTAAGGCCCGCGGGCCGGTTCTGGTCCTCCACACCCCTTTGACCCCCCCCATCATGGCAGTGTCATGGCCCATTTTTTTAAAACGACTTTTTGGCAAATAATAACACATCTGCATCTTGTATTTTTTTATTTTTTGTTTTTCAATTCAAAAATTATATTCATATGAAGTGTTACATGACGTATTTTCATCACGTGACGAGCTCGAGGTCAGTGACGGTGACACGCGCAGAGTTCTGTAGAGCAGTTAGTGCAATAAACAGAATATCTGTGGTATTTCAGATCAAAACACAGGGTGAAGTACTTTATACTTTTACCACAAGTAACGATAAACAAATATGTGCCAGGAATGAAGTGCTGATACAGTGTTGTGCCAGGAGAGTGTTTTTACTCCACACTGAGGCCCCATCACAGTCAGGAGCCTGAATGTGGCCCCCAGAGACAAACGTTTGGTGACTCCTGGTTTAAAACTAATAGTTCAGAGACACGATCACTGAGTCAACAATAAAATATCCTCTTTAATGTTCAATAATGATCAAATCCAACTTTATTTTGGTTATTTTGAATAATGTCTCTGGACTTGGGTCGTGAAGGTTTGTGACTTTTAAAATGTGGATCCCCAGAAAAAAATATTTGGGAAACATCAACAAGTTTCTTTCCACTAAATAAACCACAAAAAAATGGCCAAAAGACACACAAAAAAAAACTCAAAGCGACGACGGGAGCGAAGGGGCCCGCAACAAAAAACAAAATGTCTGCCCGCTCCTCGGACTCCGCCGGCGTTTTTCCGAGGCGGTCACAGGAGAAGGACACATCACTCACTCTGCGCTCATTAGCCCGGATGCCGCCGCTGCCGCCGCCGCCGCCGCCGCTCCTCACTTGAGCGCATTAGGGCGTAAGACAACGAGAAAGTCCCGCGTTATCGGCCGCATCATTATCGAGCTCTTTAAAGCCCCTGATCCTGATATAAAGGCTCTTAGCTAAATGCACCGGCACTTTGTAGGCGAGTCCCCGAGCGGGCCGGGGTTGGCGCGGGCTGGCGTGGCGCGGGGGGGGCGGCGGGGGAGCGGGCATTGTGGGGCCGTGCGGAGGGAAGGGCCTGTTACAGTAAACCTTTTCTCCGGCGCTTATTTAACGGTGGTCGGGTCTTATCTGGGGCTGGAGGTCCCCGGAGGAGGCTGAGTGCTTTCTCACGTACCGAGGTAAATACCAAAGACTGTGTAAGGAAAAGGACGGAGGAGAAGGACGGAGGAGGAGGAGAAGGACGGAGGAGGAGGAGAAGGACGGAGGAGGAGGAGAAGGACGGAGGAGGAGGAGAAGGACGGAGGAGGAGAGCGTGACGTCACCCGCAGCGCCGGGCTCCAACAGAAACTCACTGACTCATCCGCCAGAGACAAAAGTCAAATCCAGGGACTTTCTTAACCTTTGATTTAGTAATGGCCCTGTGAGGTTTAAAGGTTGTATGGAGGATTTTTTTTTTTTTAGTTTCAAATTGTCAGTGAAAGTTTAAAATACCATTACAGAGACGCAGCAGCCTTGTAATTATGATGACCAAAAAAAAAAAAAAAAAAAGATTGAAAATCTATCAACTGTGGACGTGTTGAGGCCAGATAAACATCAGCCAATAGAAAACGAGGCTGCCTCATTTTCTATTGGCTGTTGGGTCGTCAATCAAACTCCCTACGTTTCTAGTGTAACTGACGCGTCGGCGTGCGGGGATTTCGTCGTTTACGCAGCGGTTCTTAGAGGTTTTTTTCAAACTGTCGCTTCCTCGCAGTTCGCACAAAGTTTGTTGCGATGTCGGACGAGAATCCACGACCGGTTCGCCGCAAAAGAAAGTCGGTTTTTGAGGTCGCCAAAAGAAGAAGAGAAGGAGAAAAGCAGCAAAGACAAACTGAGGTGATTCTTGGAGATGTCGTCCAGCGATGGCACGAATGAAGTGGACGAAGGGTCTAAAAACTGAGGACACGTTGGTCGATAAATTATTTCTAGACAGGAAACTTCAACAGTGATTCTGAACACGGATGTAAACAAACGTGGTTTCTAGAGTAAAGAGGCGGGAGCAGGTGTTTCTACTGAGGAGCTGTGGAGGAGGAAGGTGGTGACACTCATGCACAACGTTTGAAAAAGAACTGTCGCTGTATTTCTCTTCCCTTAAAAAATCCTCTGTACAACCTTTAAGTCACGTTCTAATGTTCCTCGTCAAAAACATGTTTGAGTAACACTTTATCACGAGTCTGTCGACATCTCCAAAGCTCCAGACCTTTGTCACGTTTACATGAGAGCTTTAAGTCCAAATAAAAATCATTTAATTCTGAATAAAAACTAATTCCACTTTTAAAAGTCCATGTAAACATTTATGATGATTCAGAATTAAACTTAATTCCAAAGTAAGTGTTTGGTTTATTCCAATTTTAAAACCGAATGAATTTATTCCTGAATCATGTTTCTCGTTTGCAAAACTTTAGGGGCAGGAGTGATTCTTGGATCTGGTCCTGGTCAAACAGAAGTAAACAACAAGACCAAAAATTCAAGTTAATTCATCTGATATAAAAATGTATTGAACAGATACATATGTACTCGAGTTTATCAAACTGTTGACCTTTTTTCTGTTCCATTTTTGGTTCTAAAGTTCCATATGTTTTAAACAGACCATGTAATGAAACATGGAACAAAAATAATTTCCCAAATTTCAAAGACCTGAAAATCATGTAAATAAATGTTTGTATTTCATCATATCTTGTGTTATTTCCATCTTTGAACTGTTGATGAAGGTTCATGATTTAAAAAAAAAAAAAGGATTTAAAATGATAAAAATGTTCTTGGAAGGACTGACATATTTTATAGAAATAGTTTCCTTTCATTTTGAAGTAATATTAAAGTATTTGGAAGAAAAAAGCAACAAATGATGTAAAATCCTGCACCTTCTACTTGTTTGACAATTTTCCCTCTGTTACTTTTCCCTCCGTTACCATGAACTTTCTTAATAAAAAATCTCATGAGTCAAAAAGTCTGAGGTTTTTCAACCTAATCTTGTACCATATGGTAGAAAACTATATGAAGCAAATATTCAAACCAGTTTGTTAAGGATATGGAAGTGAGAACCAAGAGTTATCACTGTTTGGATTTATTGACCAAAAAGTGCTGCATATTTCATTCCCTCCGTTACCGACATGAGTTTTTAAATTTTTTTGTCTTGAACTTGAAAGAATCTCACAGGTTTAACTTGACCCTGTTGGAGTGTAACTCTTTCCTACATTCTGATACTTTACTTATTTCAATAGTTCCTCTAGTTTCTGAATAAGAGACATTTGAATGTCAAAAATCTGACCCTGTTTCCCTCCGTTACCACTTGACCAGACCCAGATACAAAAGTTGTGCAGAATTGTTCTTTTGGTGTCTTCAGTGTATTGATCAGTCTCAAATACAAAGTAGAAAAAAACTGAGGCACTCAAAAAGTACAAAATAATTAAAAGTATTTAATAGCACACGGCAGATAAAGTTAAAATCACACCAGCGCGTTTCGGCTCTTCGGCTTCATCAGGGTAAAGAGTTCACGTTTATTCTTCTTCAAATGAACTGCAGTCGTTTGGTTCTTGCTCGTTTAGTCGTGGACAGCTCTGTTTGTGTTTGTGTTTGTGTTTGTGCGTTCATAGTCAAGTGTAAAGTGTTGTGTGTCGATGCCTTTACACAGACGACTCACAGCTCTGCTCCAAATGAAGCTGAAGCATGTCTGAGTAATCTAGTGATCTCACACAGGCCCGACACTGGGGTGTGTGTGTGTGTGTGTTCCTGATGTAAAACACATGGCGCGTTGAAGGAGGAAAAGTGCTGTATAAAAATGTGACCATTTGTAGTGGATTTTGCTGAACATGTCTCTGTAGAACTTTTCCTGAACCTTTCCTGAACCTTCCCTGAAAGTTCTCCTGAACCTTCGCCTGAACCTCTCCTGAACCTTCTCCCGAACCTTCTCCTGAACCTCTCCTGAACCTTCTCCTGAACCTTCTCCTGACCTTCTCCTGAACCTGAACCTCTCCTGACCTCTCCTGAACCTTCTCCTGAACCTCTCCTGAACCTTCTCCTGAACCTTCTCCTGAACCTTCTCCTGAACCCTCTCCTGAACCTTCTGAACCTTCCCTGAACCTTCTCCTGAACCTTCTCCTGAACCTTCTCCTGAACCTTCTCCTGAACCTGAACCTTCTCCTGAACTTTCTCCTGACCCTCTCCTGAACCTCTCCTGACCTTCTCCTGAACCTTCTCCTGAACCTTTCCTGAACCCTCTCCTGACCCTTCTCCTTCTCCTGAACCTTCTCCTGAACCTCTCCTGACCCTCTCCTGACCTTCCTGAACCTTCTCCTGAGCTTCTCCTGAACCTTCTCCTGAACCTTCTCCTGAACCTTCTCCTGAGCTTCTCCTGAACTCTTCTGGTTTCCGTTGCAGGTACCACATCCTGGTGTCTAAGTACGGCGAGCTGGCGCCGCTGGCGGAGGTGGACCTGAGCCCGCGCTGCATCACGGTGGAGGTGGTGTGGGAGGAGCGGGTGGAGCTGGTGGGGCTGGGGCTGGAGCAGACTGTGAGCGAGCTGAAGAAGCAGCTGAAGAGTCGCCTGCAGGTGCCCGGGCAGGGGGTGCGCCTCTTCTACATCGACAGGGACATGTGCTCCGTCCTGGGCCCCGAGGAGATGAAGTGCGGCACCCGCGCCCTCCACTCCTACGGCATCCGAGACGGAGACCAGATCCTGGTGGTGCCCAGGGCCAAGAGCCGCAGCTCCTCCTCCAGCGAACAGTGAACCTCTGCCCGTAAAGATGCCCGCACCACCACCCTGTGCCCGTCTGTGTGCCCGTGTGTGTCTGAGGAGCACGTCCACCACCCTGTGCCCGTTTCTCTGAGGGGTGTGTGGGCTCTGAATGTAAAAGTGGCACAGTGGGCACAGTGGGCACAGAGGGCACAGGGGGGGGGGCGTGTGTTTGAACAAGATTATTTTAAAAATCTCCTGAATCACACAAAGTGACTCTGAGCTTTAAATCATGTTCTAAAGTTCCTCGTCAAAAACAGAGCTGGAGTTCTGTTTTGTTTCCTTCACGTGTTTATTATTTGTCTACATCTCCAAATCTCCAGACGCTCTCTACCACCTCGTGATGTCATGAAGTGGGAGTTTTGCAAGTTTTCCACAGCTCCTTTTAACTCTCCTTTACCTTTTACTCTGGAGCTGAAATGATCCCAAAGATTCTAGTGAAGGTGTGTGGAGTTTAAAAACACAGTGGAGCTCTTCCTGTATTAACACTTGATGACATCACAAGGTGGAACAGAGTGTTTTCAGTTGAAGAGAAGAAGAACTCGTGCTAAATGTGTGGGTTTGTGCGTTAAACGTGTGTGAATGAAACAAAACGCAGCTTCAGTTCGTGTGTGCGACGAGGAAACGGCGTTAGAGCAGAGTCATGTGATACGGGACATTTTAAAGTGCAGTAATTTAAAAGCTGAAAGTGACAAATTAGATGAGAATAGTGATTTATGACTCAGATTAATATAAGATAAAAGTTTAAATACAGATCGTTTTAGGAGGGAAAACAAGTACAACATGTGGCTCAGTTTTAAGGCTCGTTTGTGCTCCTGTTTCGTACTCGTGAAACCGTCGCCGTGTTGATGTTTCCAGATGTTTTTAACGTCAAAGCTGCGTTCTGTTAAACCACCACCAGAGGGCGCCAACGGTCAGGCTGAGGCCCCATTCACACTAGTGTGTATGTGAGTGGTTCGTTCACATTAATCTGATGGAAAACGTCTCCAGAGTCTGAACGACCTGGTGCCTCCAGCTCCACGAGTTCATGTTGGTCCAGATGTGACGGGGACTGTGGGACTCCTGAAAACTCTGATACTCTGATGTAGGAGCTGGAGTCTCGTCCTGATTGGACCACAGTCCGATGAGGTTCATTTGGTCTTCCGATATTTGATGTTATGAGATTCTTTTTTGGACCAAGAGTTTGTTTTCATACCTGACAGTTTCGACTGCTCACCAGCGAAAAAAGGAAACATAGGAACAGAACGCGAGAAGGAAACAGCGAAGGCGAAACACGAGCAACAAAACACAAAGCAGAACAGGAACAACTCAAATCGGCCGTTTCTGACCAGTGTAAAAGAGAGAAGCACATTATGGACGGGGACAGAGCGAACATCACTGGGACAGAGGAAAACAAACATCGTCGCTGGATTAAAGAGGCAATTGAAAGACAGAAACGTGTCCGATGGTCATGAGCTCTGGGTAGTGACCGAAAGGACGAGATCGCGGATACAAGCGCTCGAAATGAGTTTCCTCCGCAGGGTGGCTGGGCGTCTCCCTTAGTGATAGGGTGAGGAGCTCAGTCACACGGGAGGAGCTCGGAGTAGAGCCGCTGCTCCTCCACGTGGAGAGGAGCAGTTGAGGCTCAGGCATCTGTTCCGGATGCCTCCTGGACGCCTCCCTCGGGAGGTGTTCTGGGCATGTCCCACCAGGAGGAGGCCCCGGGGAAGACCCAGGACACGCTGGAGGGACTATGTCTCTGGTCTGGCCTGGGAACACCTCGGGGTCCCCCCGGAGGAGCTGGAGGACGTGTCTGGGGTGAAGGAAGTCTGGGAGTCCCTGCTTAGGCTGCTGCCCCTGTGACCCGGCCCCGGATAAGCGGACGAAAATGGATGGATGGATGGTGTCCACGGGACGATAAACTGGGACGAGGGGCTTTTTTACTCTCACACACCTGGATTCTGTCCTGAGGAAGCGTGACTGCAGGTGGAGCTGTTGTCCTGCCTCCACCGAGAGGAAGACAGAGACGAAACCTGTTTAAATCATCTTAGCGACACGACACAGAAACATCACGTGACTCTGAGGAAGACGCAGGGAGCAGTCGAAACTGTCAGGTATAAAAACAAACTCTTGTCTGTAAAAAGAACCTAATAACACATTTATTGGACACGTCAATGTGACTCACTCCTTCTGATTCTCTGGGTTTGTGACGTCGTCATGTGACGATATTGAGGAAAAAACAGTTTAAACAAACCAGAGACAAACAGAAACAGCCGAGTTATAACGGCTCACTAGAACACGGTCCAATAAAAGACTGATTTTATGCTCGTCGTCTTCCTCAGCTCGAAATCCACTGCTGCAACTTACTCGTGTTTCAGGTGGTTTCACGTTAAAGAGCGAAGTTTAGTTCTATAGTTCTGTGTGTCTGTGTGTCTGTGTGTACGACCTGCACATGTAAAATGTGTGAAAAGTTTCACATGAACCAACAACACGACAGAAACACAGAACAGACTCACCATCAGCAGAACACCCTCTGACACACAGAGAGAACACCCCTCTGACACAGAGAGAACCCCCTCTGTCCACAGAGAGACACCCCTCTGACACAGAGAGAACACCCCTCTGTCGCAGAGAGAACACCCCTCTGTCACAGAGAGAACACCCTCTGTCACAGAGAGAGAACACCCCTCTGTCACAGAGAGAGAACACCCCTCTGACACAGAGAGAACACCCCTCTGTCACACAGAGAGAACACCCCCTCTGACACACAGAGAAACACCCCTCTGACACAGAGAAACACCCCTCTGCACAGAGAGAACACCCCTCTGACACAGAGAGAACACCCCTCTGTCACAGAGAGACACCCCTCTGTCACAGAGAGAACACCCCTCTGTCACAGAGAGAACACCCCTCTGACACAGAGAGAGAAACACCCCTCTGTCACAGAGAGAACACCCTCTGTCACAGGGAGAACACCCCTCTGAACACAGAGAGAACATCCCTCTGTCACAGAGAACACCCCTGAACAGAGAACCTCTGTCACAGAGAGACACCCCTCTGTCACAGAGAGAACACCCCTCTGTCACAGAGAGAACACCCCTCACACAGAGAGAACACCCCTCTGACACAGAGAGAACACCCCTCTGTCACACAGAGAGAAACACCCTCACAGAGAGAGAACACCCTCTGTCACACAGAGAGAGAGACACCCCTCTGTCACAGAGAGAACACACCCTCTGTCACAGAGAGAGAACACCCCTCTGTCACAGAGAGAAACCCTCTGACACAGAGAGAACCTCACAGAGAGAACACCCCTCTGTCACAGAGAGAACACCCCTCTGTCACAGAGAGAACACCCCTCTGAGAGAGAACCCCTCTGTCACAGAGAGAACACCCCTCTGTCACAGAGAGAACACCTCTGTCACAGAGAGAAACACCCCTCTGTCACACAGAGAGAACACCCCTCTGAGAGAACACCCCTCTGTCACAGAGAGAACACCCCTCTGTCACACAGAGAGAACACCCCTCTGTCACAGAGAGAACACCCCTCTGACACAGAGAGAACACCCCTCACAGAGAGAACACCCCTGTCACACAGAGAGAACACCCCTCTGTCACACAGAGAGAACACCCCTCTGTCACACAGAGAGAACACCCCTCTGACACAGAGAGAACACCCCTCTGTCACAGAGAGAAACACCCCTCTGACACAGAGAGAACACCCCTCTGTCAGAGAGAACACCCCTCTGTCACAGAGAGAACACCCCTCTGTCACACAGAGAGAACACCCCTCTGACACAGAGAGAACACCCCTCTGTCACAGAGAACACCCTCTGTCAGAGAGAACACCCCTCACAGAGAGAACACCCCTCTGTCACACAGAGAGAACACCCCTCTGTCACAGAGAGAACACCCCTCTGTCACACAGAGAGAACACCAGAGAACACCCCTCTGTCACACAGAGAGAACACCCCTCTGACACAGAGAGAACACCCTCTGACACAGAGAGAACACCCTCTCACAGAGAGAACAACCCCTCTGTCACACAGAGAGAAACACCCTCTGTCACAGAGAGAACACCCCTCACAGAGAGAACACCCCTCTGTCACAGAGAGAACACCCCTCTGTCACACAGAGAGAACACCCCTCTGACACAGAGAGAACACCCCTCTGTCACAGAGAGAACACCCCTCTGACACAGAGAGAACACCCCTCTGTCAACAGAGAGAAACACCCCTCTGACACAGAGAGAACACCCCTCTGACACAGAGAGAACACCCCTCTGACACAGAGAGAACACCCTCTGACACAGAGAGAACACCCCTCTGTCACAGAGAGAACACCCCCTCTGACACAGAGAGAACACCCTCTGACACAGAGACCCCTGACACAGTCAGAGAAGAACACCCCTCTGACACAGAGAGAACACGGGAGAACACTCATATTCCACTGAGTCTCTGTGTCCTTTAGTCCAACACAAACTGAACCACATCAGACACAAGAAACAACTGTTTTTCTCACACACATTAGTTTATGTAAATGAGTCATGTGGTTTTAAGTTTAGTTTCTGTAAAATGTAAACAAATGTGCTCAAAGCTGCGTGGATGGAGAAAACTCACGGATACAGATACGGAGACACGAGGATTTGCTTCAGTGTAAACGTCGTCTGAGAATCGACCAAAACGGACGAAATAGAGCAACAAATAAACAAACACGGAGGCGCCACGACAAGCTTTAGATCGATAATAAAACTCTGTCCCGGCTCCAGACCGACTAGTGGCCGCTCCAGGTACTGCAGCTCCCGGGAGAGAGGATTAAACTGGACTGGTGTGTGAGCAGGTGTGTGAGCAGGTGTGTGAGCAGGTGTGTGAGCAGGTGTGTGAGCAGGTGTGTGAGCAGGTGTGTGAGCAGGTGTACACGCACACACTCGTTTTCTTTGTTTATTTTCCCGAGTGTGAGCCAGATGAACCTGCGACTCGCTTGGAAGAAACAAGGACTGACTTTTGGTTCCCGAACGCTCTGATTTTCACCGTGAACAGTTGGTTCGAGATTAGGTGCAGGAAGCGGTACTGGCACGGTTCTGTCGGCCTGAAAACAAAACTAGAAGATAAAACCACACAGAGACAGGAGCCTTCAGTGAGTCTGTGTGAAGATCATGGAGCACAAATGAGCCTTAAACCGTCTCGTTCTGGACGGAGACTCGTCCCTGATCCACACGAGCAGACGGATTAAAGCACCGATGACGGGACAAACTCATCTGACTAAAACACACTTAAAGGTGAACTGTGTAACTGTCTACAATGTAGATTTAAGATTTCGATTCAAAATTCTATAAGTGAGTTTCAGCTGACATCATTGTTATTAAAAGTCTGCGTTGCTGCTGGGAAATGTTTTGGTCGGAGGCGAGAAACACGGTAGCGTCAAACACAGTGTGTAACCTCGCGTATTTCTCCCTGATAATGGTAAATTCCTGCTGCATTATCGGACGCACAAATAGAAGCACGGAAGAAGGAAAATGTCTTTTTCATATTCTGAGTGAAAAGAACCGCTAACGGTGAATTAAACGACTTTCAAACATCAGCAGAGCAAACGTAGAAGATCCTAACAAACCGTGGACTCAACAAGTTCAACAACACATCGAGACTCTTGGAGGTTTTCATCTTTTCTGCTGTGAATGGCCCAGGAGTTTCCACCAAGTCATTGTGGATGTCGCCCAAGTGAATATTTGTCCAGGTAGTTGGAGATTCTGACCAGAAGTTTGGTTTGGTCCAGGCCTCTTCTGTCGGGGTTGAAAAGGGTGATTTGTCGTCCGTCGATGTTTATGACCAATTTCTGGTCACATGGTCTTGGGTCGTCTGCCGTTAGAGTGGATAAATAACCGGGATCAATACCCTTTACGTGTTTTCTCGCTCCGTCCGTCATGTTCAATTAGTGTTTCTTGCCGCCGACCAAAATAATTCTTTACATTTACTTTACATAGAAACTAGACGCTCTGACGCTTTGATGTGAACGAACCTTAAGAAGTAAAAGGATATAAGAAGACAAAATGAACATCATTGGCTTAATGAGAAACCTAATTTTTTTTGTTAAAATAGCACTAAAAGTATCAGAAAAATCTGTTTCTTACGTGTAAATCTCCCTCAGTTTGTTTTAGAACTCTGTGATTTTAAGCAGATTTTTCAACTTTTTTTTTTTGGTGTAAAATTAAAATTTATCTTTGCAGCTCGTCAGATTAAGTTTAAAAAAAAAAGATGAACTCCCGTCGCGCGCTTTGATCCGCGAGGAAAAAACCTTTAGGACGTCGTTTGTCCGGGACCAGAGGAGTTTTCCACGTGAGCAGCCGGAGCTCGAGGTCGCAGAGGTGAGCGCCCCCCGATGGCGACGCGTCCTCCCCCGAGCCAAAAAACAAACCCCAGACTCTCCAGACTGTGCTGCTGCGACCCGGGCCCCCGCGCTGCCCGGGCCCCTGAATGCCGGCCCCTGTCCTCGGATCACCCCCGCGGCTCGTGTGTCGTCACGGAAATCGGAGAGTCACGGAGGTCAGGGGCCCACGCTCGCGTCGCCCGCCCCCCCGCGCCCCGACCCCCGAGTGTGTGTGTGTGTGTGTGTGTGTGTGTGTGTGTGTGTGAGGGGCCCCCCGGCTACAGA